TACAGCCCTGTTGACGTGGCTGAGTTTTATTTACTTTTAGTAAGATTTTAGATTTTTAGAGATTTTTAAGTTCGTGGGAAATGACTAACGCACTGTCAAAAACCACTGGTTGGACGCCAATTATGAAAAGGTTTGCCGGCGGTTAACGCGCGCGGCTTTTACTAATCGGACGTCAGGCGGAGCCGTGACAATAAGAAGATTAGGAGTTTACTTTTAATGCTTTATTATCCCGAGCCAAGCGGAGCTGTAGCGTCGGAGGCAAAATCAGAACTGAAAATAAAATACAAGAATTCAAACTTAGGAGCTAGCATGAGAACGATGCTTACGTTGCAGTATGCCGATGTCGTCGTATTTCATGCGCCCGTGGGAGCGACGTTAGCTTTAGTTAACTTACATATATATATATATTCTCTTCTTTTGGAATTGAGTGCTCTCATTTTCTAATTCTATACCACGTGAATTTTTATATTTTTGCTTACGACGCCAGCAATTCCCGTGGTAGACTTAAGGAAACCCACCCATCGTCTGAGCAGTGCCGGAGACAACGCGTACTGTATTACTTCGTACGTCCATCAGCTTGTCCCAACCAAATACTCTAATATTTTTGTTCACCCGTAATATGCTACAAACGTTCAACTCAACGTAATGTTAATGTAATGTCATAAGACTAATGTACAAATCGGGCAACTCGTCTATGAAAAACGACGCTCTCGTAGAGAATGACCAAATTCCATATTTACATTTGAAAAACAAAACTGATAACTCTGAAACAAGAAGAGAAATACGCTCAACGCGTAACTATCATCAAGGCGGCTGGGCCCGTAACGATTCAGTTGGTGGTCAGAGCCACCATTTTTGCCGCTCACCTAGAAAATGTGTTTAGACCAAACAAGGCTACTATTATGTACATATATTCGTGCTACCGCCTTCATCTGACTACTACAACGTACCTTATTTATGTTATTTCAAAATGAATTAAATTTATTAAAGACAATCTCATCCCGAAATAATCTCCCGGCTGCGACCTTTGTGCAGTTCACTACAACACCCAGCCTTTTAATACAGTCACCAAATTTGGTTACTTTCCACAACGATTGATAAAATCAACAATTATAATGATTCCAAAGCCCAGTAAGGATGCACATTATTCTTATAGACCAAAAAGTCTACTCCCATGTCTTTTCAAACTATTTGAAAAAAGCCTACTAATTCGACTCAATCCACAACTGAGGGCCAAGCCCAATAACAACAGAAATTAGAATCGCATTCGAAAATGGAGAATACTGTACAGCCAAACACACTAGAATTATTCTAGTGTCCTTGGAACAGCAGTATTTTTAGATGATTTCAAGGTGATATCAACAATAGCTGCCGCTAATTCTTCTTCCCGCCCGAACCAAATTTGAGGCTATGAGGCTATGCTAACTGGCTGGACTTTTATTTTATGTTTACTATTGTAAATCTCCTGACCTCACAAACATACAGCATATGTAGCATAAAACATAAGCTACAGCATCTACGATCATGTCTGAGGGACACTGCGCTGGAAACCATTCGCTCACTGGAAATCGGATGGCAACTATGCTTTAGCATTGGATTTGTTACAAAACAGATTTGTTAATCGTCGTTTAGTATTTCAGGCACACATTACTTATATTCTGGGTTTCAATGCTTCGTGAACTGTCAAGTAAATTAAACGTTTAAATTAATTCGTTTGCTAAATGGAATGGGCTCAACGTCAGGAGGAGCATTTGAAGGACCCAGTCTTCAAAAATTCAAGTCCAATATGGGAATCCATGGCATCGTTTCTGGATGCAGCGATGCAGGACGCTGGAGAACATGGAGTTCGCCATACCAAGCTATGCGCCCGGCAATCAGGTGGAAAGTAACAAGCCTCAGCCCTGTGACCTGTGCCTTCTGCAATGCTCCTGGGCACTGAATTCATTACTGCCAGAGTTTTACCCAGAAAGTCGATTTCAACAAGCGAAAAGACTGGCTCTTTGCTTGCCTCATGAGTGGTCATCAACTGAGGTAGTGCAACTCCGTCCTTTGCCGTGGCTGCGGATCTAAGCAACACACCCTGCTTCACCTGGGAAACTTGGCCTCGCTTGCACTACATGAAAAATCTCATCTTGAAGATACGCTTGCATCATTTCGAAGAACCCTCTGCATTGCCTGGAACGTCTGCTGCGCTTCCTGCACAGGATCTTAGTAAATATGTTGTGCTCCTAGCCACTGCCACTGTGTTAGTTGATAACCGTTCAGGAGTCTTCGTTCCTTGCCGTGCTCTGCTCGACTCTGGATCTCAACTGCACCTTATAACATCTCGATTCGGAAATCAGCTTCCACTTGAGAAGCCAAATTCGGCAGCTTGCGTTACCGGAATAGGCGATTATAGCTTTGAGACAGATGGTTCATTAGTAAATATTTCAATTCAAACTTACTGATTGGCGCCAGTTTCTTCTACGAACTGCTGAGCGTCGGTCAAGTCAAGCCTGTGCCGGGATTGCGGCTAATGCATCGAACTCAGTTAAGCTGAGTTGTTTCTGGAGGTTGCAGTCGCTCAGATCTCACGGACTCCATAGCTGCTTGGCCACCTACAACATTAACCGAGAAGCCAGTACAGGAATTTCGTTGAAGAGCCTCTCCTGGAAAATCTCCGCACACTAAAGGATCATAAAGGAGCAGGATCGACGAAGCGATCAGTAGATGAGCTGCGTCTGCTGCCCCTTACGAATTCTGCTGAAAGCCACGGTCCAAACGGAGGGAGTGTGACGGCTCTCGCAGCCGCCAGCAGCACCTAAATTTATGTCTTCAGTTATTGCCAACATTGGAGACACAATTAGTCTACGGCACTTCAGCTTTCTATATCTATGCAGATCAGCGCTTATGCATATACACATCGATCCAGAATCTCGTTCGCTGAGCCCAATCAACGTAATTGTTCAGAATCGCTTTTTGTTGCTCAAAAATAGCTAATAAAAAAGCTTATTAGTTCAACAATGGTATTTGACGGCTTTGCCATTTGGAAAACATTTGGACTTGGCAATGGGATCCCAAGAACCCAATAAACCCAAGAAGAAGTCTGTGGACAGCCTTCGTTTTAAGAATAGAGGAGTTACAATATACAATACAAAAATAGAGGAGACCTTACAAAATACCTGAACGATGTTTAATGCAAGTGCCCTGGGAGCTTCAAGATAAGAGCGAAGCCTTGTCTTCGAACGAAAACATAGCTTAGAGATTAGAGTTAGTTGTTAAAAAATAAAATAAAATACATTTTTCAAATTTATAGGCATAAGCTTGCAAAAGTTGTTTAGCTGAATAGATTTAGCGAGAAGAAAGAGTGGCGAAAAAATAAACTCGAAAGATTAAACTAAAATAATGGAGGAAAAGAAAATAAAATGGAAAAGTTAAAAGACAAAACGAAAAACGCATCATTAAATTCAAATTAAATATTCATAAATATTATTAATAAATTGATACTTGCACAATACATATCCTAATCTGAAAGCTGTAACGAAAGTTCTAAGACACTACAAAACATTGACGATCTTGAAAATTAAAAATTTAAAATGCAAGTGAAGCGCAATAAAAATGCTGACCGTTTTTGTGTGCTTCTTTTTGCTTTTGGCATTTCTCCTTTGTATACTAGTATATTAGTATTCACAATTTAAAAAGAGTACATTGTAAAATTAGCATATAATTTCATTTAAATTAAATTAATTTAATTAAAACATAATAAAATATAAATTAACAGCAGAAACGATGTGTAGACAAAATATGGTTTCGGCTTCTACTCGAAAATACACGATTGTAAAAGTATGAGCGATCGGCAAGCTTAACAGGCAGAAGGAAACGTTTCCGACCATATAAAGTATTATATATACATAGGTGGTCAAAAGTATTTACACAACGTGCTTTTTTTTCAATTGTCAACTTTGATCGCTTATTGCTGCTGCTTTTGTACTCAGAAACGAACATAACGGTATTTGTCGTGCTTCTACATCTATACAGAAGCAAACGAAATTTCTTTTCATTTCATTATTATTTTTTCACTATTTCTATCAATATTCCGAGTAAGGGGTATCTGATAGTCGGGAAACTCGACTATAGCGGTATCCCTTGTTTTAATTGAAAAGTTTCTAAAACGAAAACAGGCCCGTTTTTCAGAATTTCAGGTATTACTAAAACTGTAGTTTTTGCGTGCGGTCAACTTCATCGCTAACTAGGAACTTTATCCACTAACTATTACAACAAAATATTCCACGATAACTTTTTATAAAATAATACATCACATCGTTTAAAAATAACCGTTTTCTATATCTCTTAAACTGAGTATCGATCGACTCAACATACAGAAGTTTTTAAAGTATAAAACATTCAGTCCTGCCCAATAACCTCAAATTTCAAAAGGTGATTGGTCCCATCAGATATATTTATATCAGATGGGTCATTGGTTCTGATTAGACTATCGTAATTCTATGGGTCTTCGTCATTACTTGGACTGCCCGTTGACACTGATTTGTGGCGTTTTGGATCCTGCAAGATTTTTTTCGTTGTAAGCACAATTACCTTTTAACAAACTATTTTAGATAAAAACTATTTCTAAATTTCATATAATTTCGTCATTAGGTAATCCTAGCTTATTTTCTTATTTATAAGAAATCAAACGAAAAAGTTCTAATAGCAGGGGCCAGCAACAATTTGGAAAAATAAAGAACAAGGGGGAGTCAGGTATTTTTCCTTGTATGTTTTAAGTTTTCAAATAAAATGTCCTTTTTGTAGCTTACACTTTTTTTATTCGTTTTTCTATTTGTTATAGAAAAAGTTTAGAAAATTAAGTAGTTGATTACAAGACCATTTTTTTTTCGGTTGATTTCATAATTCAACTTTTTTTTCATTTGGTGTTAGATCAACCAATTTTTTATTTTGTCATAGAGTATAATTTATTATATTTAAAACACTATTCTTTTATATATTCTTTTAAACCGCAAACCGCGAAAAATGTAAAAGTTCAATCGTCAGTTTATAAATACTAGTCGACGTAGTTTTGGCCTTTAGTATGGTCTGCGAGACTGGCGCAAGTTCTTCTCAATTTCAAACTGCCTAAGATCGGTTCTCTGCAAAAAGTCTTGGCGGTCCAAATACCTAATTCGTCAGTTAATAAAATTTAGTTAATCCATTTAAATGCAGTCTTCATTCGAACTCACCCGTCCTTGCCTTTGTTATGAGAGCACAGAAGTTCGTCTATGCCTTCGTCTTGTTTAAATATTTTCCAATCCAATTGTGACCTTTCAAGTACTGACAAGTTTCTTTTCTTTTCGAGTTTATTCATAATAGAGCCAATACCGTTTTCAGCGGATGGTCGTTTAATTTTTCCGAGTCTTGAAACTGAAGCAGGCGTAGTCCACTTGTTTTTGGGACAGTAATGTTTTGGAGTTTGTATTATTTCCGTTCCGTTATATTTAATACAACTCTCTTTGGAACTATTGCAAGCGTTGATCTTTTTTCCTCCGGCGAAATCAGTTTTTTGGTCGATGACACTTTCAGTTACAACGCCACCAAGAAAATCGGCCCATAAAGCATCCGATCGCGATTTATCAGATTCTTCTTCTGAATTAAGGTCGTTCTTTTCCGCAGACTTATAGTTTTTATTATCGCTTACAGAATGCCTTGTTATTCGCAAAGCCTTCGCAGTATGCTTGGATTTTTCCAACTTTTTCAAAATATCAGTTTCACTGTCATCGCGCTCCTTGCTGGAAGTCATCAAATCAACATAATAATCCTCGTCGCTATCAGAATCCCATGCGTGTTCCTCTTTTAGGTTCATGGCGTCGTGCTTTTCAAAAAAACTGTTTCTTGTTTCTACAAAATATGACCCCATCTTGAACAAAGTTAAATCCATAAAATCCTTGATATTTTCATAAACATTTAAGTATTAATTCCACTACGATAGATGTATGTCTTATGCCATATTCTCAACGATATTTATTTAACATCCCCATTTGCTGCCCATAACAGTGGGAATAGTTTCCAGAATATATATTTACTCTTAAATATATATTTACACTATTGAAATTTTAATTATACATGTAAAATACGGTTGATAATTATTAATTGAAATGACCCGCTTTCGTTTTGTCTAGGGCATATATATATTTTTTAAATTATAACTATATTTATTTGTAATAATTACTGCTCAAAACCGGTACCAAACTGTAACAGTTAGAAACAAATCAATATAAAATAACATACAAATAATTATATATTACAAACAAACAAGAGTTACTCGAAAGCGGTGGAAAATTATTGTTGTGATATTCAAATATTCAGTATTAAATCAATTTTTTTATATAATTTTATCAAATATTTAATATAATATAGTTACGACTAACCACAAAATATAATATAGTGACGACTAACCACAAAATATGGAGCAAAATAAATTCAATTTAAAGATCTGTTATTTGTGATGTTTGAAGAAACGATTTGCTAACTACTAGGTTATTAGGTATTTTTCCGACCCAATAAAGTATATAATTACAACTTCGCGGTTTGTTGGTTTATAAAAAAAATATTTTTATTAATCAAAAACTTAAGCGAACGTCGGAGACAAATTCACGTCTTATACAATTAAAGTATGAATAAAATCTAAATCTAATTTGCAAAGCGAACGCTTAGCAAACCCTTGGCTGAGCTTATTTACTTCTTCATATTGAGCGTACATGGGCTTTCATTTATGTTTACGTTAATTAGGCGCTCTCTTGAGTGGATTGCGCATGGATACAGATCAGCCGAGTTTGAGCTACGTGGAAAGTTTTGACCCTTTAAGCTGTGTAAGCAGTTTTCACCCTTCTAGTGGGAATAACGAATAAGACTGCGGATGTTCATGTTAAATTGTTTACATCGGCCGAATTTGTTATTGTCACCAAGAAGTTGGGGTTCTTATGTGCTAAGGCATTCTTGGTTCTATGTTCTATTGTTGCTAAGTAAGAGAATATATAAAGTGGCTGGTATATGTTGTAGATATATGTTATGTGGTTGAGCATTACATATGTCACTATATAGTTCTTATTCAGAATTACTAGCCGATTCGATCTGTGTCTGTCCGTCTGTTGGTACTATACAAATTACTAAGTTAATTTTAAGCAAGTCGGTTCAAGTGACGCCTGTACAAGTTTGTTTCAAAATATGGCTACTGACAGCCATACGACCACAAACTCTCAAAACTGTCACTTACACACTTTAGGAACATTTTTCTAATTTTTCATCTTCCCAAACAGATAATCTTGAATGCCCACAAACCGCCAAAGACTACTACGCACTTTTGTAAAATTATTTTCATTTTTTCATCTTATTATTTGTCTGCACGTTTTTTTGATATGTCAAACAAATTTTGGTCACGTCCACACTAACGCCCACAAACAGCAACGAGAAGGAGTTAGCTAAAGTTAAAGATATTCAAGTAGACAACTGATGATATTTTAATTCTTCATATGGTTATAAATTACGTCTAACATATCTAAGGGCAAGAGATGGGCGAATTTGTCAGAGCCTTACACTATGCACAGTATTTATTATATTATAATATATATGTCGGAGTATAAAGATTATGCATGAACTTGAATTATTTCATCATATTATGTTTTGCGTCTTTGCATTGTGGTTGTCCGTCGTTTTTCTGCAAGTACCGTTGGAGCGGGGCGACAACGACGCGTCGCCTGTCTAGTTGCACGACGATGCGTCGCGACGTTGCCGCCGAGTGTGGTTCGAGTTTTCGTATAGGCTGTTAGAAAACGAGCAGGGCAGTATGCTTGAGTGATCGCCTGTGAATAGTTCGAAACGCGCTGCGCTCTAATGGGAGACGAAGAGAATTCGACATCAGAAGTGGGATCGGGCCCTATACCTTCAACAGTAGATGGACCATGGCGTACTATTATGGAACTACAAAATAAAAATTTAATTGAACTTGTGCGGGCCATACAAACAACAGCATCTGATGCGGGGCAAAGTAAAGCGGTGCAACTACCCAAATTCAACCCAGACAAGGCAGGCGCAATCGCTTCATCGTGGTGTAACACCGTTGAAATTATTTTGAAAGAAATTGCATTAAAAGACAGCGCGCTGGTAGTGGCATTAAGTTCAGCACTAGAGGGCAGCGCTTCGCAATGGCTCTCCCAAGTGTGTTACGCTGACATGACCTGGCTCGAGTTTAAAGAACTGTTTATCCATCGCTTTGACACTATAGAAACACCAGCCGCCATGTTTCTAAGTATGTTGTCTAAACGACCGACTGACGGCGAATGTCTTGCAGTTCATGAAAGCCGCATGGTAACAGAACTAACGACGAAATGGCGCCAAATGGAAACGGAAGAAATTGCTGTGTCCGTCACTCTCGCGTTGCTGGCAAATGTTGATAACCGTTTGCAGCGTTTAAGTTTTACATCAAATGTTCGAACCAGAGGCGATTTACAGTCCGAATTGAAAGCGTTCACTTTTAATAAACGGAAAAATGGTTCCACGGAGCAACAAACAGAAACTTTTTCTAAACGGCATAAGCAGTCATCTATAGAGTGTCATTTCTGGGAAAATTCGGACACAAAATGATTGAATGAGATTTAGGAAACAACAAAATCAGTTTGCCAACGACACAGAACGACATGACAGACACGATGGTCATCAACGCGAAAAATCAAGTGTAACTTGCTACAAGTGCGGTGACCAGGGTCAGATATGTGCAAAGAAGGAAGCTGATGGGAGCAAAACATCCAACCGAGAAAAGCGAGTGGAGCAGTGCAGTGTTGCAGTACCTAAGGGATTCTTAAATTCTTAAAGGCCAAATTTTCAAAATCACGTTTGATTCTGGAGCTGAATGCTCGCTGCTGAAAGAAAAGCTAAGTACTAAATTTTCTGGTAAAAGATTTAATAATATTTGTCTAAACATGTGTTTAGACATGATAAGTAGACAAACTATAAATATGTTGTATTTAAGGGCTGCAATAAACATGTCGCGGGACAGCATAAGTGGTAACTACAGATAAGTACGATTGCAGTGGTCTATTGCCGATAAATATAAATATAAATATAAATATATTTATATTGTCGGAAAGATCTGTGAAATTGATGCAAGACCAAGGAGAGCTGCAGAACAAAATACTGCAAGCAATCAAGGAAAAGGCATCTATACCAGCAATAGAAGCATTGGTAGTTCGATTTACTACTAACAACAATGCGCTGGTAAAATTGGGAGTTGGCGATCATCAATATTTTAATGATAAAATATTTATTAAAACTATGGATGCTATCAAGGCCTACAAGGAGTCACAATTAAAGGTAGAAACACTTGAAGAGATAAATATACCAAGCGGATCAAAATCCGCATCAGTCCAGTTGATAATCTGGTTCAACTGGTGGATAGAAGAGCGGACAGGGTGAGGCAACAGATGAGCCTAATCTACGAAATTCTAGATAGTTCAAGTGAGATTGAACTAGACAAGCAGCTGGCAATGATGAAAAGTCATTGGTCCAACGTGACGGACACACTGAAACTGTTTGAAAACAATTATGACAAAACAGTCTTTGATCAAGATGTGGCAGACATTCTGCAATCTGAAGTTGCCTCACTAGAGATGGTACTTCAAAGGAAATTGGAACAGTTCAGAACGACGTGCCAGAAGTCCCAAAAGTGGACCTTCCAACGTTCAATGGAAATGCGAAGGAAGGGCCAACATTTTACGAGCTGTTCTCTGAGCTAATCGACAGCATGAAGGATCTCAGCAACACAAGGAAGCTGGGATATTTAAGAGCCTGCTTAAAAGGAGAAGCTCAAATGGTGGTTAGCCATTTGATAACGGAATCAGCGGCTAGCTATACAGCAGCGTGGGAGCTTATCTGCAAACGCTATGAGAATAGCAGAAAAATATTCTCAAAACACTTCAACAAATTAATGGAACTGGAGTGCTTGCTGCCCCATAATGAGAAAAAATTTAAGGAAGTTTTTGGATACTACGACCGAGAGCATATTCATCATAAAGGAAAAAGGAAAAATAGAAAGCTCTGCTGACGTAATTTTAGCAGAAATTCTACTGCGGAAATTTTCGCCAGAAGCCTTGTAGCTGTATGAACAGCATGTAAAAAAGGCAAGAGCTATACAGTCCTTACAAGACGTACTGGGATTATTGAGCAACAATACAACTCAGTAAATGCCATTACTAAAAATACCGCTCAGCTTGCTACAAGAAAAGTGCAAGTTATATCCTGTGCCTTTTGCCCTAAGGATGGCCACGATATGATAAAGTGTCTCAGATTCAGAGCACAATCAATCGAAAAAAGAAAAGAATTCGTTCAAAAGAACAGCATGTGCTTTAGATGCTTTGGAAAGCATAATGCTATCGACTGCAGAAAGGAAATTACATGCAATCGATGCTCCAAAAGACACAACAGCCTTCTGCATGAAGACACAAAACGCAGTATCAACAGCAATAGCCTTAAGCAAGGCCAAGACACACTATTGGCTACAGCTGTTGTTTTAGTGAAAAACAAAGCTGGAGGTTACAACGAGTTGAGGGCGCTTATTGACGGTGGATCCCAGAAGACGCTGATTTCAGAGGAAGCAGCACAAATATTAAGGATTCCCAGAGTAAGGACTACTTTAGAGGTCGAAGGTATCTCCCAGACTACTCAATTATCAAAAAATAGCGTCCAACTGACGATCAAACCAAAAATTCCAAGCAGCTTCAAAACATCAACGGAATCATTGGTTTTACCAACACTCCATAGAGCCCTTCCCAGCAAAAAGTTTGATATTGATATCAACAAAGAGTGGAAGGGCTACAGGCTAGCATATCCACGACTCAACGAGACAAGCAGAATTGACATGGTGATAGGTGTGGATCTATTTCCCCTGATTATGATGG